ATATATAATAGATCATCTCATTAAATATAACTGGAAACGTTTTTCTGAAAATCGGGATTAACCATTTTTAATCCTTGGGAAATATCCAGGCCCTTTTCAACAATTTTTTTATTAGTATTTTTTATTGTTACAAACTTACACTATTAACAAAGAAAATTAAATTTTTTTCTAATAAGCCCTTCGTCCAAGTCTTTAAAAATTGTATACAAAAGACCTGTTAAGAATTTCAAAAAGATCGGTTGAGTGGTTCTCAAGAAATGGTGCCAATCGACTTCAAAAACAAATTTTCGAGAAAAAAGTGTTTAAAGACGGCGCACTTAGCCTAGCCTCAAGCGCACAATTTCTCAAGGCTGTATCTGCGAAACTATTTCTCGGAACAACTTGAAAATTTAGAAGAATATTCCAGAGGTGTTTAGGAATTTAATAACTCAATAAAAAATAGATTTTTTGAGACGATATTCGATATTTTTCCTTTTAATGTTTGTTATTTTATCTTTCGTTTCGAATGAGCTTTAAGCTACTACGAATTTCGTTCTTGTTTTTATTATTTTCAAAGTCTCTGTATTAGTCTAGTGAGAATGATACCAGCATTCAATCTTGAAATTGTTTTAATTTATATAGTATTATCAACMGAGTTACCGAGAGCAAGGCTCACATCTTTAATCACGCGAACATTCCTTTTCACTTCAAGAATTCAATAAAATCTTTTCTGCATGACATTCCTTGAATGAACTGAACGTTTGTCAGCTTGTAGGAAACTCAACCTGATTTCGGATATCACATAACCGATCAATACTGTTAAATATAATCTTATATACATAACTTTTCAGGCTTTATGCTAAAGGCAATACAATAGAAATCACCGAAGTCCAGAAAACAGCGGAACTTAAGTTTGGTAAACAAACTCGGATCTTACGACGTAACATCGGCAACTTCATAAGACATTAAAAACAATGGCAAAGTCCCCATCAACTTTTACTCTCAAACGTAGTCTCCAAAAGGTGCTATATTTTAGATTCTTGTCTTTTAAGACATAAAAAATAATAATGAGATCTTTTTAAMCTTTATGAAAAATATCAAGGTAAGGTTTTTGAAGCCAAAACTATTTTCCGAATTAAGATCCCACAATGTATGTTCAAGACCGCTCAGTACAATATATAATATATTAGATATTTTTCCACGAAACTCACATCTACGTAACAAGTATTGACATGAATTCTTACGRGGAACCTGKCCGCATTCCTGAAAATAGTTTGGGGAATGTTTTCACCAYTATAACAAGAATCGCTTGTACAACATATCTAATCGACATTATTTTTACCGTTTTTAGAGGGTAACTAACAGTCCTAGTAAATTCAATTAACAAATGTTGGAGTTCGTTTGTAATTTTTTAGTATTATAGTATTACATTATTTTAATTTTCAGCTACCCTTAGTATATAAGAAACACAAAAGAAGTAATTATTTAGCTTTTTTTTCACTCAATAGAAGGCTCGATGGTATTTGCAACAAGTATTCTTCTAAAGGCAATTAGTTCCCTGCGCATATTACTTAAAAGTTCAACAAATCCTCYACATTGCTCATTAAATTCAACTAAAAATATTTTCGACACATTATTCTATATACAAAYGTCTTGAAACAACTACTCACCCCCTTGCATGGCCGCTCGTCGGAGAGTAAACGTACAGCGCCACGTCCCAAGGCTTCACGTTTCCTTTGTGCCGAAAATATGCGCAGCTCCTTGCGCTCCTCATCGCTCAGCGAGTGGCAGTAGCGCACCTATGAGGAAGGAAAGAAAAGGAGAAAGCAATRAGAACGAGGGATATACAAGTGAGTATGAGTAAAGGAAAATTKTAATAAATTTTAATTAAAAATACACTTGCACGTCCTCAACCGAGGCGACAATGACGTTCAAGTTGAAGTTGAAGACGTAGTCGAAGGCGAACGCGAAGTCACAAGTCGCAGCCGAGACAAGAAGTACAATGCCAAAGTTTTTTAATCTTACAAGTACAAGTGAAAAGGAAAAACTTTTGAAAGGTTTAATTTTCACATTTGCACAATGCGTTTTAACTACTGCCGTGTTTTTTGAATAGTTTTTTCTCGCTCCTTTTCGTTTTATTGTCTGCGATTCTGGATTGCTATTGTTGGTGGCCGCCGTARCCATTTTCAGTTACTGTTTTGTGTTATTATACGTTTATCACAAAGCCAATTTGTTCGTTTTCTACATTTCTGATGTCTTTTCAGTCGTCTGATTGTCTATTTTACGGTTAGTGTGGGAGGCTACTTGGTAGCGCTTAATGTGTTACTTACYTCATTGTCTTGCGGCGGCAATTGATGCAGTAACTGCTTGACGCGATACTTTTCGCCGGCACTGTTTACATAGGGCACCTTATCGTCGGGTAGTTGGGAGAAGTAGAAACGAACCTGTAATGCAAAAACAATATTATAAAAATAATTTTTTTTAAAAGTAAAGTGACTAGATTTAATAAAATAATACTATTATTTTTAAATGGCGAAAACAATAATAATAGTAAGCAGAGGCAGCACTTGTGAATTTTTAAATAACTTCAAGTGTCTATCTGATTTAGGAAAGTTACAAAAGTAGTAATATTCCTCTTCAGTAAGATTTGCCATTTCATCATGGAAAGAAATAYGATTAAACAGTGAGTCGAAATTATTTAAWTTTACTACCGGAATTCGGAGTCAGTGGCCTCTACTTWAAGATTTGCATAAATGTAYAGTTAATTTATTTTTCCYARAGGAAAGCATTCAATATTACTTGCAGCTTCGGTCACAAAGCAAAAAATTTACGAAATGAAAAACCAACTGGCMTAGTTCAAAACCTCTTTTTCAAAGCATAAAATAGTATATTCCTTACCGTAGTATARGTAGGGTTCCTCCATGAAATATACCATATTTATTCTTAATAACATTTCTTGATGACGAATTCTGTTTAAAATCAAACTAATACCTTTTGTATATTTAGTCCAAAGGGACTTGGCCAAAATCCTCTTCCACAGGCTAGTTAGTGTTTACAAAATCAGAAGTATGGATAGTAGAAAGTCAGAATCTTCGTTCAATTCAGAATTACCTAATTACTTAATCCCTAGGCAAAAACTGTCCACATTTTAAACAATCAGCAATGAATAATTGATAAAGTGAAGACAATCTGAACTTCATGGCCGCAATATTTGGATATTTAATATAGATCAGATTATTTTTGGGAGCGGCTAGTCTCTGTAGGATAGGCCGACACAATTTTTCTAATTCATCAACCAAAGCATTTTCTCCATCCTTCTTCATTTCCCAATTGTTTATTTTATTTACCCAGTTCAACGTGAAAACTCTTCTCTCCAGCAAATCTTTCTAAGCTTTGCTTTCTCCCGCCGGAAACACGGTTTAAAAATCAAAATATCGTTTAACCCCCATACAAATTCACTACAATTAATCCAATCAACTACGAAGCATGGTAATATTTATAGCATGACATTTTTCACTTGAACCAACACCGTAAAATGAAAACTTCCTCAATTTGTAACGAATCATTTCCTACTCGTTCGCAATCACTCGTCGCCTGCTGAAATGTGGTAGCAGCAGCTGAACGACAGCAACAACAACGTCTAAACAACAGCGAAATTAATCAAATTGTGCACGCAGCAGTCACAACACTTTCACTCGGCCAACTAAGCCAATTCACCGCTGCCGCCGCCGTTGCGTCGCTGCAATTAACTCTTGTTTTGGTCAATTTCCACCGAAAACTCAATCGGCTAACAACACCAATATATTTTACAGCTATCTATTTGGTTCAAAGTGTCAGCGCACCACATGGCTGCCACTCGCATACCAACAACAACGAACGTGGCACCGCTGCGTGTTGCACTGCAGGCGCCCCTTAGCTTTTCATATGTCATCTATCTTTCTTCACCCAGGCCACTGCCGCCGTGCCACATGCGAGACTCTTATCTGCCCAAGCATCCAGTTTGTGCGTGTGTGAGTCAGCGCTGCCACACGGCATTTTCGAGAGCGTGGCAAAATTTTTAGTTTTGCAACCAGTGCAATGGCCATTGGCCAATTCCCCTCACCACCTCTTCTTGAACGCTAAAACATGGGAATATTATATTTGTGGCAAAAAATAGTGAGTTGTGCGCAAGTTTGAAGTCAAATGCACCACCAAATAGACAAAAACAACGCACCAAAAATGTTATTAATTGCTTCGTTGTCCGCAGTCGGAAAATGTCGCTCGAATYACGCTTCGAATGAAATTAAATGGAGTGGACAACGTCAATCGCTCGCTTGCTCCGCTCAACTGCGTTAGCTGAACTAATGGTGGAATGCATGGTTGTGTATGTGTCTGTCTGCAGCTGAGTGTTGTGCGCGCGATATTTCCGTCATTGCTTGGAACAGGTGCGGAATTACGCGTAAGCGCGTTAAAATCGTAAAAGTCATGCTGAGTAATGGTTTTACTAGCCCAAAGCGATGACTGAGATTTTACGTTAAGTATATATTATAGAAACGTAATTGTATTTAAAAATCTTTAGAATAATTAAAATGGGACACTGTTCATAATTTTTTTTGGTATTTGACAGAGTTTCTTCTTTCATTTGTGGCTTGCTTACGAAATGCAGAAAGGAAAAGAAATTTCCATTGCTCACAGACACTGATAGTCAATACAAACATCTTAAGAATGTACAATCTCTTAACCACAGAATGATAGTTTCGCACTGAAAGCACTCGGCTATAATCGGATATAGAAAAATTTATAAGTTCMTTTCGCAGCCATCAAAATCACTAACTAGTTCCTAATAGATCGCTATTAGACTGGTAAAATAAGAATGTTGTTGTTGTAGCRGCATAAAACCTTCCAGAAGTAATTTCGAAGGATGGTGCCGAGGTGACAGTCCTTGGCCGGACTAAAATTCCGGTTACTTAGACCCGACTACCGTGGGAACGTGAGAAAGCAAGAAAACAACAGTTCTTGTGATGAATTCGTAATAATTATATTCTKTCTGTTTTATATGATAAGTTTTTCTAATAAAACAGAAATCGTACATTTTCTTAAATAACAAGCGTTAAAAGTTTAGCCGAATCCCAGTTTCATTTCTTTTTCAGCGCGTGTGGAAGCGGAAGTGTCCACGGGTTTAGAAAAAGTAGAAAAATAACAAAGCTTTTACCATGGTGCGTGCAATCGCATAGTGAAATAAAAAAGTGGTGTATGATGGATGCTGTATAGTATACAGTGACCCGATTATGACGGTTAAAAATGTATTAGTTTTGCTGTGTTCCAATGTCTGGTTTTTAAGGATCCGAAGAAGTTCCTGTGCTATTTCGTGACCGTAAATCACATTTGTTTTAGTAAATTTCATTATTTTATTTCAGATACTTTTCTGCAAGGGTGTTACACTGATTATGGCGATTCTTCAACTTTTCGTTACCATTTTTGTAATACGACTTGTCCTTTGCTTCAAAATGGGTCTCAGCTTTGGCCATTGAGCTGTCATACAAACTGACCATTCAAGGTGAAGATACAATTTTTTATACCCTTCTATGCTGCATAAAATGAACTTGTGAAAGGTATTATGTCTCTGAAGCAGCAAAAGTTAATAATGTAATTATCTTATTAACAAATCAAGCCAAATAAATCGTTTTAATAGTCCAAATTATTAACGAGTTTATTAAATACATTCCTTAAAATCATTGTTTCTTATATGTTTTTTAAGAGATAGCAATTAAATGACCACTTAAACGCTTTTAATTGAGTTGCAATTAGTAACTAAGTAAAGAAATTGAATTAAGCAATCAAATTGAGATGTGAGTTCAACATTTTTCCACACATCACTTGATTTTCAATTCGCTTAGGCGTAAGTAGTAAGTAATTATCTCCAAGATAGCTAAATTCCAGCAATAAATTTATTTGCCGATTAACCAATACATACAAAATACTTATATGGGAACATATACGATTCAATACTAATTACATTAATCAACTCCAAATATCTTYAATTTCAAATGAAAAGCAATTATTTAGCGGGTTTGGCTGAGAAGCAAAAAAACAAMTGCGACAGAGATGTTATGCCAGCAATGGAATAATTTGTGATTTCGAAAACGCCGGCAACGAACATGAGATTAACAAAATCACACAATTAATTACCGGCAATTTCGATCAAAAATCTGCGATTGCAATCTTGGAAATGCCGCACAATTACGAGGCAAAACGTTCGAAAATCTCCTTAAAAGCACGCAGTGCTTGTAAGTATACTTGTAAGCATGCTAGCTATGCTGACTTAAAAGCAACGAAATTGTATTTATTGAAGTATTGCTGAATTGCAACGAAAACCGTTGCTGCAACATTTTACGGCCGCTTTTGTTGTGGCGTCTAATGTACATGAATTGTTACACGTTGCCCAAAAACATTAAAGCTTGCAACACCCGACACAATATTGCATGTGTGTCTGCAACAACACTAAGCATGCATCTGGTAGTTGCAACTTGCAACTTTTTAATCTTTTTAATGGTTAAAGTAAGAGTAAAGTGCACAAGCCGGCAAGACGCGTTGAAGATAAAACTCTGCGGCGTATGAGTGGTTGGGGCACAATTTCATGAAAAGCGGCGAAACGAAAGCAAAAGTGGTGAAAAATTTTATTATCATTTTTTATGTTCGAAAAAAGACAAAAAACSAAAAACATGCTATCACAACAGCATTAAGCGACTTTGTGGCATGCCGCATGGCGAACCCRAAGCGTGTGTGCCATTTTGTTGCAATCGAAGCGAGACAATAAAAAAATGAACACACACCACTTTCGATGCAATGCTGCCTACACTAAAAAAAAAGTGTAGAAATTAAAAATTTGAAAAGTTGCGGCGGAAAGAGTTCATAAAAGTCAATTGTAACTTTTGTTGGCGTGATTGATTTATCAAGATTTTATGTCCTTATCCGTTGGCTCTAAGTTTGACTAAAAGATTGAGTTTACATGATTCGCATGCGAAATGTTGGTCAGTGGACATGCAGTAGTCTGAGCAGTCTGTATACATACAAGTATTGGCGGTTTCCATGCGAACATTTAAGGACGTCTTGTCATCTCATTGCTTCGATTATCAGAAAATTCTTTACACTTTTTTTTAGTCTGAAATCTTAGACATCTTTGCTCAAAGTAATATGGATCTTCTTAACTCAAACCAGATATGAACCTAATGAATATACACTTTAGAAATGTTATCTACGTCCGATACTTATATACCGACCTCAAGCTTTGGTTAGGTTATTTCGGTTGGCCAATAAGCCACGCAGAGACCATATTCACTGAATACTGTTCTGAATAGATTCCGTTAAGGCGTTACTGAACGCTCCAGAGCGTATTCTCTATATATTTAAGAGCCCTAAATAATAGTGTATGGAGTGTCTACTAATCTGCCCTTCGTGTATGAGTACTGCGCATTGAACAAGTTTCTAAGAGGCGTGGTGGCCCAAAAACTCGGATTTATTACTCTTGAACATTTACAAACAMTRCTTCGAATCATCAACTCGTCGATGTTAGCTCGCGCGACACTCCTTTTGCACAGGGATTTCTCATACCGTGAATTAAAATTACTTTGTGGACTTTTTTTTTTTTTTTTTTGATGATTTCGACAGTAACAGCCACTTTTAGTCGTCCCCTGTGTTCAAAGTCTTCAGTTCTCATTTCACCACGTCTACACTTAGCATACCAATCCTTGATGGTAATTTTTCTGGGGCAGAGTCTGAAAACTCGTGGGTTGAACTGAATTTTKCCCTTCAAAAATCAATAATTTACTAACAGGCGAAATTACTTGTAGCATATGGATTAATTCTAGGAGTGACATCTATGTGTCACAATTTGATAAGAAGTTTCTTGATTTTGAGCGGAGTTCTCTCTTTGAATATTGAAAAGCTCATKCCTCGGGCCTACTTGTATAAGCAATAAACGTCCTACAAACCGATTAATAGGAAAGCTTTAAATACATTTTTCGTATATGTAATGGAAGATTTTAATTTTTAAGGACCGCTTGAAGTTCCACAGTATAAAATTCGTAGTTAAAAGGACCCACAAAAAAGGCCTACTCTTTTCAATTTATCACCGGCATAATAATTTTCGATAGCGAAATTTTTGAAACAAACAAGAAGTATTTTCATAGATTATTCAAAGAATCGCATGTCCATATGGGCGGTGCTCTTGAACTCGTTATCTAGATTGAGTAAGATAATTTTTTAAATCCTCTTAGGAGGAACCCGGTTAAAGTAAACAAATTCTATTGCGACATTTAACTTCTTTTGAGACCCTAACATACATATATACACCCTACATCAACTTGTTTACTCACCTGATCCGGACGCAGCCCCGGCGGCACCCACGTATACTCTTCCAGCGCACAACCGCTATCATCGTCCGACTGCGAGTTTCGCTGAAATTCCAGCTGYTGCTGATGATGCTGGTGCTGATGGTAGGCGGCCGTCTTGTAGTTGGCCGCACGCAGCGGTGATGAAATCGAACTCAGTGGCAATGATGGKGGCGGCGCTTGGCAGCGTCGCTGTAGTGGCGCTACAAAATGTTGCGGCGTCGTGCTGTTGCTACTGCCACCACCGTTACTTGTGCTGCTCGATGATGCCTCCAAATTGCTGACAGTGGTCGGTGTGGGTGTGGCGGCTGTGGAAGAGACGGGCGTGGCACGATCCAAATTGTTGAGTGCCGGTATTGGTAGTACAATAGACTGTTGTTGTTGTTGAGTCGGAGATGAGGCTACATTTTGTGTTTGGGAAGTTGCTGTTTCAGGTTGCAGTTGCTCGTATTCGGGTAAGTGTCCACCGGTTGCTTCCAGCTGTAGCAATTCGCTTTCGGTTTGTGTGTAGTAGTTGGTCGGCTGTTGCATGGTGACTTCGAGTAGCAAYTGCTGATGGGCTAATGACGTGTAGCAGGATTGCTGAAGGGGTTGAGGCTCCCACGTGTTGGGTGTACTGTAAAGAAAGCGAGTGGAAAGGCTGTTTTAAGATAAATTCAGCACACTGGATGTATTTATTGTTAAAGGAGGTRCTACATGTACGATTTTGGAATCTTTTTTTGTTTAAAGTAAAGTGTAAATATCAGTGATAAGTTTTAGTTTAGCTAGCAAGAAAGTAGATAACGAATAAAACGAACTGCATTTATATGGTACTGTGCTTTCAGCACCAAATTCACCTGTTATGTTGAACTGTGTCTCTGTAAAATATGAATCTATTAATGATGCAATTATTTTGTTGGCTGTTGTTATTGACGAGACAGAAAGGTTTTCTGAATTAATTTCGAGAGATGGTGCCGAGTTGTCAGGCTTTGGYGGAATGAAAATCTTGGTCCATTCCGATTACTTAGAACCAACTCTCGTGGTAACGGGTTAATCTGTTCGGTGGGAATGGTGGTAAGAGTAAAACTAATAACAAACAACTGCTACACAAGATTTTCGATTATTGTTCAGATTATCATCAGAATTTTGGCAATCTCTTTTAGCTGTTTTTAGTCAGCTTTAATTTTCTCGTATTCGTAATTGTAGGTCAAAATCTAGATTATAAAGAAGTTATTATTTTAAAGTACTTAGGGAAGGTTTTATGTGGTGCAACTCGASATCTTCTTTGTCGAATTTATTTACATTTTTTTTAAATGATTAATTAAAATAATATCTTCCAATAATATCTTCCAACTTGGGTATAGATTAATAACAAATAATGCTTTAATCGGAGTAGTTTTTTGACATCTTTTACTTGATCTAGACTTAGTTTGGCCATTTCACACATAAAATATATATAAGAAACGACTATCAAGCGCAACGGATATGATGGCCAACCTATCTAATTTTCATGTAAAATTTTCTTCAGCTATTGAAATCACTTTTAATTAAGTGGGTATGCTAATAAATAAAGTATAAGTGATGATAATCCACAATCAATCGTTAAGACGTCGTTACATTTTAATAAGTCACTGTTCGGTGTTTGTTGCAGCAAATAGTGGTTGAAAATTGTGGCTTCGACAGCTTTATTTATTCGAGTCAGCGGCGTCGGTTACTTACCCGCAATCACTTTTAGAACATAATGCCAAACCGAAGCTAAGCTAAATTCTTGGCCATCATATTAAATTATATAGGTATTATTTCTTCTTGGAAGCCACATGTCTAAAAAAGACCCTTTGTTATTCTTGGTACTGTTCAAAATACATAATATTCTGTGGGAAGTCGATACACCTCAGTTGCGATTTTTACAATGGATAAAAATATCGAAAAAAGAATTTGTCTCAAATTTTGTAATTATAACCAAATTTCGTATACGGAATCATTGTGAATGTTGGAAAATGATTACGATGATATAGGTTCATCAAAAACAAAAACCTACAGTGGTACAAAGCCTTCACAGATGGTCGAGAGATCGTTGAAGACATGTGATGCTCTGGATGATCTTCGATCTCTTCAACTGTTGAAAATATTAAAAAAAAATGAAGAATATGGTACTTGAAAATCTTCAGGCAAGTGTTAGAGAGATGGCAAGAGAGATCAACATCACTTACGAGTCCGTTTGACTGATTTTGGTGGATATTTTAGGTATGAAATACGTTCTTGATCGATTCGTCCCGGTAAAGCTGAATATTTTTCAAAAAGAGTACCGTGAGTATGGAGAGCATTATAACTACCGACAAGACATGGAAATGGCATGGTATGAAAACAAGTCAACAATCATCCGAAGGCAACCCGTTTTCAGTTGATCGAAGAGATAAAACAAAATTCACTGGAGGGGTTGAAGGCCATCCCAAAAAGTGCTTATGAGAAATGCTTCGAGGACTAGAAAAGTCATTACCACAAGTGTATTACATCCGGTAGGGTCTACTTTAAGGGTCAAAAAATAAATATTGATGAACATTTAATAWTTTGCGTTTTATTTACAATTTTATTATATTATATTAATATATGGTGGCGCAAAAGTATCAGAAGATGGTATAAACTTTGCAATTGACCTCTAATGTTAGCTCCGTTTTGACATTTGTGTAGTAAACACATGCAAAATACACATAAATAAACAATGGTATGCTGCACTGCTCCAGAACGCGTATTATTGGTGACTATTTATTGACCAATAATCGATTGGTGACTTTGTAACAACGTGAATTTCGTCGCAGATTTCCTAGCCGTCCGACACCTACTGGTGAAACACTGCGACGTCTAGCCGCTCACCTCAAATAGACCGGCACAATACGAGTTACGGCCAGGCGTAGCGACGAAGTTTACAGCGAATTTTGATAGAAGGTTTAAAGATGTTGCCGTACAAAGTCCAGACGGTGCACCAGCTGTTAGCTGCTGACCGCCAATCGCGTCTAACATAGGCTCAAGCCATCCTTAATCACCACCAAGAGGAAGATGATTTTTCACCAAAATTAATCATGAGTGATGAGGGCCATTTCCATCTTAGCGGGTACGTAAATACGCAATATTTACGCTTCTGGGTCAACGTAAATCCGCGCTAACCCACAAAGAGCCATTACACCCGCTCAAAGTCACTGTATGGTGCGCTGAAGTCGCGGACCAAACGGTTACTGTGAGTGGTGAGCGCTACAGAGCAATGATCAACGAATTCCGCAACTTGATGAATTGGGATTGGAAAACATGTGGTTCCAACAGAACGGTGCAACGGCCTAGTATTTACGACATTTCTCAGATTTCCAATGAGCTATACGCGAATTTTTTTTTGCATTTTTAATAAACAAAAGGTGCTCTTTTGCAACGGCCATAAGCATCATTAATATTTCTTCTAAAGAAAGAATAATTTGTTCTGGAGTTCCATTGGCATCCACCATATGTGCGACTGCCAATTTTTCTCAACAGCAAACTAATTTGCTCTGCTCGTATAGAAATGCCTGCGAATGCAATTTGTGCAAATGCCTGGCGCGCATACCTTCGACTTTCAATCGCAGCGAAATTAGARTTTTCCACATTTGCCAGGAAAGTAATGCAAAGCATTTATATTTTATATGACTCTCTGMTGTTTTTGTTGTTGTAATTTTTCGCACTACAATTTCCATTTTCMATTTTGAGCCATGAGCAGAAACTAGTACATAAACGCATTAGTGGTACGAACTGGCGTCCAAATGTTGCATGCAACAAACAATGCTCAGCATATTCATACTTGTTGAGAATGCTGTTTTCAAATTTATTTGATAGCGTTTTGATTATGAGGCTGCAATGCACGCATACACATACACACACATRCATGCATGCAGGCTGATATGAGTATGTAGATGCAGCAGAGCACAAAACGCAGCTGGGGCATAACTAAGCAACACCTTGCGTACACATGCTATACTCGTGCTTTTATGCTGCGCTTGCGTGCCTTTGGTTAATTTGTATTTGGTCAGCGACGCGCCACAAAACATGCGCAGTGAAGCAAGTGGCATTGTTGCGCTTGTAGATGTTGCAGCAATGACTAGAACTGGTCAAGTACTCTTGAATTGCTAACTAACTTGTTGTTGTTATTGTTAATCTTATTGCTGCTGCTGCTGCCGGTATTAGACTAGACTTGTTGTTGTTGTTTTCAGATTTATGTTGTTGTTGCTCTTAATCTTGTTGCTGCTGGTGTTAGACTAGACTTTCTGATGTTGTTGTTGTTTTAATATTTTTGTTGTTGTGGTTGTCGAATTTYTCTTGTATATATTGTTGTTGTTTCTGATGTTTGTTGTACTTTCAACTTTTTGCTATTTTTGTTATTTTTTTCGCTAACCAATTCCATTCTGCATATATGGTTATGCGCATGTGCCTTGGGAACTTTCTCTCTATGGTATGTTGCAGATACTTTATTTATAACATTCGTTGTTATTGTTGTTTTTGCTTTAATTTATAGTGCAATTTTTCTTCGTTCTGCAACATGGCTCATTCCAAAATAAATTTGTAATTACCATCTTGGYGTTTACTCACGCTTCGCTAACTTGGGCGAGTGGCCGAACTCGTTGATTTGATGAATGGGCGTTATGAAAAGCAAATGTGATACTCATAYGAAGAGAATCATTTTAGATCTTTGCAAAGGAGCAGTGAAAACAAATAGAAAGCAATTAAAAGCTTTCTACACARCGCCTTTTTAGGCCATCAAATCAGAATCGCCAAGCCTCCCTTTCACTTTTCGCGCTACGCCTTCGGCTACCGAATGCATGAGTTACAATCGCGTGTATGTGTTTGTGCACATGTCTAGTTTGSTGTGTAATTAATGGTCGCATAAAATTAATCACCTAAATAGCTGTCGATATTTGAACAGCTTAAAGAGGCTTGGCGGCTATCAAACATACTTTTTTATATTGAAGACAAGTCTTCGAAATCGAATTTCGAAATTATAAGCTGAAAAACATTATGTTGTAGTATTCATTGACGATTTTCCCATAATTACTTTTACAACAACACAACTTAATGTACACTATTGCTCATAAACTCTCATAGAGGACAAATGCATATTTATTATATACATATATATACACAAATATATATTTATATATTGTGCAATATTTACATATATATATATACTCACGTAACTGTCACAGCCACACATAATTTTGTTTATTATTAAAATTAGTTAATCGCTGTAAATTCGCCAGTCAAACACACACTTGTATGCATATGAATTCGAGCCAAGCACAAGTCATTTTACGCATGCGCGCGCTGCTCATTATTTCCGCTATTTAATCGCTTCGCCGTTTGGTTTGTAAACATATCACTTCTACTTCCAAACGCATGTCATTCATTCATTACGTTCGTTTTCTCCATCATCAATTTCATAATTTTATGCCAATCATCAATTCTCCGCTGTTCGCTTTAAAACATCAAATCTCCGATTGGATTTGGCTGCCATTCGCTTTCGAAAATATATGGCATTCGGGAATGATATGCATCAAAAGCGTACATTTTTATTTCTACATATATGTACATATATATATATGTATATCTGTAACCGATAATGGC